CTACGCCGGAGGGTTTCCAGAAGCTGTTCAACTACAACAAAGCTGTGGGTGAGTCTTGCCGGGCAATGACTGGTCCACTGTTCGACAACATGGACACAACATTCGTCGCCAAGGACATGGAGGCTGTCCGTGTGGGTAAGATCTATTCCCTATCAAATTATCCTGGCTGGAGGAGCTGACAACAGACAGCTACTGGCGGAGAACCCATGAACTATTTTGGAGTGTCATATGGAACACAGCTTGGGGCTCAATATGCTGCACTGTTCCCCAAGGCAATCCGTGCCATGGCGCTTGATGGGATGTTGCAGCACACTGGATCTTTCGCATCGAACATCATGACACAAGCCACGTCCTTGGACGCCACCATCCAGGCATTCTTTCGGTTCTGCGAAGCTAACGCGACTAATTGCGGAGAGGGAGGACAGGACATCCGACAGACATGGAACAAGATCCTCGAAGTCGCGGGCGCGGGGAACCTCAAGGCGGCCGAATGCGACGGGACCATAAAAACCGGCTGCTTGCCTGTTGCCACACCAAACAACGTGATAGGCTCTGCACGGTCGACTCTGGAGTTCCCTCAAGACCGGAGAGCATTTGCCGAAATGCTTAAGCTCGGGGCCACCGGGAATGGCTCCTTCTTCACTCCAGGCCTACTTTCCGGTGACATTTTTACCGACTCTCGCTCTTTATCCATTACAAACGTGCAGTGCCAGGACGGACATTTCTTCGCTGCCAAGGATCATGTCGAAGTACAGCGAGTGGCTGATATGACCCGGACTTTCACGACTACACCAGGCATGGGAGAGTTTTGGCATCGGGTGATTGACTGCACCGGGTACCCGGTCAAGATCACGAATCCTCGGACGGCGTTGAATATTAAGGACACGCCGCCCATCTTGCTCGTACATTCGAGATTTGATCCGGCGACGAGCCTGGTGTATGCGGCTGGTATGATGGAGGAGTTTCAAAATGCTACTTTACTTCTCAGAGAAGGATCTGGGCATACAAGCTATCTGCTGAAGGGTGATGCCTCACGCGTTGTAGACGACTATTTGATCAATCTCAAGATACCGGCGCCTGGGACGGTGGTTTCGAGTTAGCTGAGCTGAGTAAAGGGGTAACTAGAAAGTAAATTAAGTTCGACTTAAACAAAAAACACTAGTTCCGTCGTGATTTCTTTCGTTGTCAACAAATTTGTTACGCAACTGTAAGAACCTTCTTCCAAGTTTCGATTCATGCGCGAGATTGCCTCTACCCTTCATGGAGCATGAACTCTTCGTGCTACAAGAACTGTCTCCTCGGCTGAATACTTTATACTGTTGTAGAAGGGGATGTCATTACCTCAATATTCTCGTGTATCAAGAAGCGCGTGATATGTGGGGCCATGTCAATCACTTTCTTGGCTGGGGAGTAGACTACCGCAATCTGCATCAGATGAACTTTGAGCCAGGCATCACCTCAACTCACTATAGACCCTCATGGGTAACAGAATTCTCGAAGACTTGAGATCATCAGGATAGGCTCATTGTGAAAGGTTCTCGTCTCCAAAGCTCTAGCAGCCTTCGAGATATGGAAAGTGATATATCGAAGTCGAGGGGAAACAACTAGATCTGGAGTGCTTCCTTGTGGATAAGATTCGGCTCGTCGCGCGTCGTTACAGTTGATTAGAGCTAAGTCATGAGGAGTTGAGCAAGTCACAAAAGGACAAAAAGGGCACGACCTGGATTCGAACCAGGGACTCATGCAACCACCCTGCATCGCTCTGGCCTACGAGCGCTCGTACCTATGGATATCTTCGGAACACATGCAAGAGGAATAGACCGTATACTTTCTGCGTGGTATGAGAAGACTCTGTGAGTCACCCATAAAGGACAGACTGATACCTTGGAAGACCGTCTTGACTATCAGGGTTCGCACATCGGCGTGGCACACCTCACTACCTATACGGAAGAGAATGATGTTTTATTACCAAGGCCTATGGAGTAGCGAAAAATTTCTCAACTAGATTGCCCCGCTTACATAGCTTTTGTCTTCGAGTCTCGTGGGAAATGCCAGCATCGTTACACCTATGGTGGCCAGAGTCTCCTAGAATTTTGGTAGGTTCATCACGAGGGAAGCCAAGGTTTTGCTTCTTACAGCCATAGAAGTAAGTAAGAATAGGCTTCTCGAAAGATGCAACACACCAAAAGATCCTAGCCTCTCATCCTTCCTGCTCCTGCGGACTCAAACGATTGATATTGTCAACATGTGATTGCTGATGTATAGCGCACATCTGTTTGATACAATCAATAAGCTAATGGCAATAACTGCCAAATAAAGCAAGTAAATACGTTGTAATATTGATATCAACATAGTCGCAAGTACATAATATACAGAGTATCGTTCAAAGCAGATAGCAAATAGGAAAGACCTCGCAGCTGATATCCTTCCACGGTCATATCGAATTCTTCGACGCCAGCACCGCCATATAAACAAGTCCCGCACCTGCCTCGTCCAACTTATACATCAAGCTTCACTGATAGGAGGAGCTTGAAGAATCCATTCTCCGATAATCTTGATGGTCTTTTGCGTCTTGATTTTGGCATCCTCAAGCAAAACCGGATCACGTACAATACCGTCCAGGTGCTGATCAAATCCATGGACCGTATCAGGAACCAGAAGCCACCGGTAGCGGCTTCCGTCAGCTCCAGACACCTCGAAGTGGTAAACTTCGTCGTCTAGCACGAGCTCGCCATCACCGACGACTTCAGGCTTCCCAACCTTTGCTGGTGGGGGCGGACGGCCCGCAAGCCTGTGAATGAGCCTCTGGCCTTCCTGGGCAAGCATATCCAGCTCGCAGCCGATCATAAAGACTTGCTTGGGCAGAGCCTCCTTGGGCGCGAAAGTAGGACTGAGTAGCGGGTTGCGGCTGTCTTCGCCGGGAATCTTGTAAGCCCAGTCAAACACGGGTGCAATCCCTTGCAAGAAGTCCTTCTCCTTTGCACGGAAGCCTCCGAGCTCAGGCTTGTACTGTCGCGTCGGGGCCTTCTCTTCTCCCGTTATGGACAGATCAGCCGCCGGGTACAACGGGACGATGCAAGTGAGATGCTTCCTGACTGTCTCGAGTTGCGCGACAGCCAGAGTCAGGTTGCCGCCCGCAGACCAGCCGGCCAGCGATACTCTGGTACGATCCAACGGAAGCGAGTCATCATTGAGCGCGGCGAGGAAGAGCTCCTCGCAATCATGAATCGGCTTGGGGAACGGGTTACCCGGAGCTTTGGCGTAGTTGAGACCGATGACAATTGAGTGGTGCTGCGAAGCGTACGTCTGATTCCAATCGTCGTTGTCATTTGGCGTACCGAGCACGAATCCACCCCCATGGATTGTGAAGAGAACTGGCAGCTTGTCTTTGGACGTTTTGTCAAAGCATTTCGGGAAGAAGACCCTGGAACGTGTCAATCTCTACGCCAAGGCGATGAGGTTTCTCAAGAATTGGGGCGAAATAAAGAAACGCACCTGACGGGTAAATACGGCCTGCATTCGTACGTCTTCACGATCTCTGGACGGTTCTCAGGCGGGATGACATGTGCTTTGACATCGCGAACGAAGAGCGCGGGCTTCACCAAGAGATTTTGGATCGCAAAGGCCGTAGCGCCGTACCTGACCTTGGAGAGGAGCGGCAGCTCTGGGACACGATGTGAGTCGTCCGTGGTATTCTGATCTTCGGCCATCGTTGAAGCCAGGCGCGCGGCGACGGGTTGAGTTGAGTTGAGTTGCTTTGGGTGCTCGAGTGTTGCAGCGGATGTTGCGTTGGAAGAAACAGGCGGGGTTGGGATGAGAAGCGTCGCTGGCTGGTGGGAACGGCTCGGTAGTTGTAGTCGCATGCACCTCGGTTTCGCGTTTAGAGGGCCATAGCGAGGTGCAAGCCGAGTACGAAACAAGATACGAAACCTTGTACCACGGTCAACATGATCGGATAATGGGTGCTTAGAGACGTCATGTCTCTAGTTGGTAATGGTGCATAAAATGTAAGCATGTCCCTCAAGTTTGAATTGAGGCGCAATTTGCAGTCAAATCTCATAACGCCTTCAATTGCTGACGGCATCACAAAGCGTCGGGGACATGTGAATAAGTGCCGGCCTTAGTAGCCGAACCCGCACCGCCGGCGGGTCTCCACTTTAGACCGGTAACTCGGGAAACTTCATGAGAGCGACAACAGCACAGTCCTCGACTTATCATGCATTGCCACAACGCACAAACCGTCCAGCATTCAATTTACAAGCAAGTGACACCTCGAACACCCAAAGTCATGATGGCGCAGCTGCGCTCATTCGAACAGCAACTGCATCTTGTGGCAAACCCCTGAAGATTGCAGAATCTCCATCGCCACGAAACAGCAAAAAAGAAAAGAAGAATGAGGCAAAAGGTGAGCTTAGGGGCACTACTATCATGAAGATGGAACAATCTGGAACTTACGGCACGTGATCAAACAGTGGGAATAACCTAGGCGCGGCTGATTGACATACGCACCTCACGCCTCCTCAAGTGAAGTCTAACTCAGTGATAACTTAGCCATCTCAGATCTCTGTGATACCGCATTTTAACACCTCAGCCGGAAACAAGAAAGTCCAATAAAAACTTTAGAAACATTTTCGTGTTCCGATCTTGAAAGAGGAAATATGGTCTTGTTGGCTCTTTCCCTTTGACGAACGCAGATATTGAGTTGGTCGAACCTCAGGTGTCAAATTCCCAGGCTTCTACCGGGATTTCTCAGTGACCGACTCTTTCTGTTATTCTTCCGGTGCTTGTCCCTTCAATAACAGCTCTTTCTTTCATTACATGCAGCTTTGCATCCGACTCATCTTGAGTTTTCTGTGTTCAGAGGCTGCCGAGGGCTGTCAACGAGGTCGGCAAATTCACGCCAGATCGCTAGAACACAGTGGTCCCTTTACCACACCGTCAGCAACATTCTGAGAGGCCACCAGAATTTCTCTCACACTTTAGGGAACACAGTGATCACCATGATTCGACCTATGCTTGACATGAGAAAGTAAGTGATCTTATCAATTGCCGTAAAGGGATGCCCACTGACTGTCTATGTACAGAATCCTCAACTCGCCGCAAATCGAATATCATGTCGGCGAAAGCGGCAAGTCATTCTCGGTTCCCAAAGCTGTGATAGCATTCCTCTCTCCAAAGCTGGTGCATACGCCGCCTTCCGGACGAGGATAGCCCAATTCCGCTTCAATCACTCTGAGGGACATCGATGAGGCTACATTCACTCGACTGGTGGAGTACGCCTATCGCCAAGACTACACCGTTCAAGGTCTCAAAGCCCGCTCCTTTGCCTCCGACGAAGTCAGCGTTTTGCCTTCACTTTATGAGAAGCTCGAGCGGGGATGAGTATTGAGAGAACGGATCCTTCATCTACGATTCTGGCAGGAATTCCTTCGCGAGTTCAAGGGTATCTACGTAATGCTCGACAAATCGATCCACAAAGAAGCTCTCAAGACAAAGAAACTCCCTGACCGCTACGTTCGCTTTGACACCCTCGACGCCCATATCGCCCTTGGAACGTGGCGCACACATACGGTATCCAACCTTTGAAGGATCTCTGCAAAGCGCACTTCCGCGAGTGCCTGCTTTTCATGCCTCTTAATAGATACCCCGTGGCTGATCTGCTCACTGTGTGGGATTTTATTCAGCATAGCGCTAGCTGCGCTCCCGGTAATGAGATCCGCGACGTTATTCTGTATTACTTCGTCGCCACTCTCCCCATTTCAAGACATCATCCGAGGTTTAGGAGTACGCTCGTGCGTGACGAATCCTTCACCCACGAACTTCTCGACAAGTTGCCAAATGTAGCTACTCCAACTGACTACTAAGGATCTTGTGTGCCATAGACTCTACGGGGAAAGCATTGGGACGGTGGGAATTGTCTTGATCATGGAGAGAACTCGACAGATTATCAAGGCTTCTTCTTTGGAGTTTGATTTGTGGATGGCGTTCATAGGGAGATCAAAAGACAACGAGTTCACGTAATTAATGCTCAGAAGTGTGATGCCAATGCATTTGACATTTTCTCTAGGACCCATCATATCATTTTGCCTCCCTTCATAGGCGTCGGCCCACGGCGTTGTTTGACAGATTGCCTATACAATGATACTGGAAAAGCGGGCGCCTCATACCACTCAAAACCGATTTCCGGCGCAGGATAGCCGACACCGGTATCGCTGGCCGATATCTTCGCCATACAAGGCGATGCCAAGGAGGTCACCGCAAATCATCAGTGATAAGAAATGGCACTAGCACATATCCATGTCAACAGGGTGGGGTTATTGCGGGGTTGCGCATGGTGATAGCTTCAATGTCCGGCGCGATGTGATCCATGGTTCCGAAATGTCGGGATGACACCGCGTGGCTCTCCACTTTTCCCCGGCCACCCTTATCTTTTGAGGGAGTTCGCCGACAATGGTACTTTCAAGACTCATGGATGGGGTCGCTATAAAAAGGTGCTGAGCATGTGGGAATTGATCTACTTTGCCATGCCATTCCTTGTTGGATCGCTACCACCTGTCAGACTTCAAGATGTTCGTCTCACTAGTACTGTTGTTGTTGGGCGCCGTGGGCTCTGGATCGGCACATTTCATCGTCCCCAATGATGACCAGGATATGTCTGGCCTCACCGTGAACTCGGTCCCAGCAGCGAAACGAGTCGAGTACATGCAGAAGGTTGGCATATTGAATCCGTGTCATATACCACCGTCCCTGTGCTGATTCTCGCTAGGCAAACGAGGCCCTATTCCGGCAAAGCGGACCGTACGTGGCCACCCTCGGTTCAAAGTTGAGTATCGAATTTGACTAACATCTTCTCAGTTGCCCCTTTGCCGCATTCGGAACCATCATCGTAAACCACACTAGCGATGAAGTCGTCTGCGAGGGAGCAAACTTCCGGACCGGCGATCCTACAAGTATGCACTGAGAAACACAGTAATCGTAGCTAGCACTTACTAACAAGACTTGCAGTTCACGGAGAGATCTCAGCCATCAACGCATGCACAGCTAAGTTCGCTGAACAGGGCATGACGCCAACGTAAGGCCTGTGAATTACTCTTCAAGAACCAGGGCTCATATTCTCGACAGACAGATCTATGCCGCATGGGGAGAGCTATCAATCTACACAAACGCTGAGTCGTGTCCGATGGTAAATGCTTCAAGTTGCCAGAAAGCACAGGAGCCTCGGTAACTAACGAGTTTTAGTGCGCGAGTGCAATTCGATGGGCGGGTTTCAAAGGCAGGTTTACCCTTAGAAGCTGTTGTGCCCGTCAACGACTAACACTGACCTGTCAGAATACGTCTATGGCACAACGATTCAGCACAACTACAACGTCGGCTGGGGTGTTATGACTCTCAGCAGTGTAAGAGCCTCTGCATCAGAAAGAGACGAGGGTAGCCCCGCTGAACATACTATCTAGTACGACGTTTTCCAGCAATCTCGCCAGCTGCCTGGTTACCAAACGTCTATGATCGGACAGATCCTCACAAACGAGACGGACCCTCTCTTCTCATGGCAGTACAACGCAAGCGCGCCTTGCCCGAACGATTGTTTTCGTGTCCCAAGCGCGACTCGAGGCGGAACGACCTGCTCCAATGTTACTGTCTCTCGAAGGGACTATGAGGCGCTGTAGATGGGCAGCGGGCTAAGGACTACAAAAAGAGACTTGGAAGTTTTATTTGCGATCCGACCTCAGCCACACTAACAGTGATTGCAGTGTCATGGAATCACTGAAATATGGCTCATCAAGTGGGTGGAGAATAAAACATTTATCGCGGTATAGGTATCCTATCTACCTCTTTAATTGTCATTGCTGTTACTATCCTTCGTTTAGGGAGTATTCTTTACTGAATATATGAAGAGTGTTTCCTGGAAGTAATGGAGATTACTTTACGGGTATTATAAGGATGAGAACGACTTATATAATAGTTATAAGAAGTAGGTAAGTGAGCATTATAATAATTTATTGATTAGTAATTGCGAAATATATGTGTAATAGAAGGGAAACAGGCGGGATTTGGCAAGTTAATATTATTACGTGATGAGAGGGACTGAAACTCTTAACCTCTTCCAAAACAGGGAAGAACGTCCGGATACCTCCTTCCACAAATCCACCTGTTCGCAGCTCTGCGAGTTCTTAAACCAGAAAGGCTCTTGAAAGTCGACTTGCAACTCCTCCACTTCACCTCTAGCAGTCATGGAACCACTAAAGGCGACTCCCAGTCGGGTTCCGTATTCTCTAGCACAACGACGTGGTCGTCTCCCTAGTCATTCGACAGCGGCTTCGTTCAACAGAGGTGTACCTGATCTTGAAGGGTACGTGACATTCAGTTTCGATTTTGAACATACCACTAACCATTAGCCAGCGTACTCACCTCACGAGTGGTCACCTTTCGGATCGGTCCAGACCGAAAGCCATTCCAGATCCACGAGAAGCTCGTAGCTTCCCGATCAGTAATCTTCGACCGCATGCTGGCCAATAATATGCGCGAGTCCCTCGAGGGTGTTGTCGATATTGAAGACGTCGAGCCAGAGGTATTCACGAGTTTCATCAACTTTGCCTTCTACGGGAACTACGACGTGCCGACGTCGCACAAATTCCAAAAGGCTAAAGACCAATAGCCTGACAACGCCAAATTGATTCCAGGAGAGACCTACGACTCCCTTCTCGAACACGTCCTAAAATATGACTTCGGACTATCCAAAAAGCAACCGTATCTACGATATCTGACGCTTTTCATCAACCAAGGAACCCCCGGAAAGCTGTACGGCATGCCGCCCGGGTTCCCGTGGAATAAGGACGAGGAACTCGAGGCAAATTTTGACCTCATGGTCGCAAATCGCCTGTTTGGGGAAATTTGCATGCATCACGTTCAGCTCTACATACTCGCCGACAGATACGACATTGCGCAGCTGAGGCAGGTTAGCCTACACCGTCTCCACAGCTCTTTGACGCGCGCGAGACTCAGCGACGCTGGGTACCAGCTTCTCTTCGGCGTCATCGAGTTCGCGTTCACCAACACAATGCCGGGAGACAAGATACGAAAGCTGCTGATTCAGACATGCGTTGCCGACTTTAGCATGGTGCGCGCGATGCCCAGCTTCACCGATCTGCTGCATCGCGTACCTGAGCTGGGGGTTGAAATAATGACTGAGCTCCCCACGTACTGGGAGGAAAGGAAGAAGGCTATCAATGATGTCAATGCAAAGTTTGCATCGGCACAATCGGACGCTACAACGAGCAAAGAAAAATCTTGAAGAAATAGGAACAAGCGCTTTATCGAGTTATACGACTCGACTTGCTTGGAAGAAGGGAAGCAATAGGCAATCGAGGAATGGCGCAATGGTCATTGCAAGTGCTGAGCAGGAGAGGATCTTGCTTTCTAGAAGTTCATCACAGGGAAGAAGGGAAGGCGTTTTTAGGCAGTTGCATGTTTTTAGAAGCAAGCAAATTACGAAGCGGCATTCATTCGAGCAACGACTCGAACATTGAGCGTGGATTCTAGATGAAAACAGCCAACTACTCTATTCAACACATCATGGTAGTTCTGAACCATTCACATAGGCAAAATGCGTGTTTCTTTTCAGAAGCTCCTTTTAGTTGACGGACTCTCCTGTATTCCAGCTTCAAAGGACTCTTCGTGAAAGAATTTTTGATGAAATTCGTTCATCCCTTGACCGACTATTTTGATTAAGGAAAAAAACTAATGAAGTTCTTTGAAAGGGAGACTATCTGAGATATAGGAAACGCCCAAGTCCTCATCCGTAATAAGAACCTCTCTGATCTCAGGTTTCCATGGGACGTGTCCGGTGAATGACAATGGCAGTCCCCTCTGAACCGATCCGCTCTAACGAAGTGTCCGCCGAAATTACATCGCTTTCCTTTTGATAAGATCCCTCGAATGATGTATGATGTATCCTAGCCCCAAATAGCTTTAGGCGTCTAGTGCCCCTGGCACTTGACCTTGAACTTCTTTCCAGTAGGTACTGGGTATCTCAAGCAGCAGTTCCACAGCGTAGTCCGCGAAGTCGCGGATCAGGTCTCGAACTCCAGCTTTCATTGCATATTCCATATCTCCAATGAGGTATCGTAGAAGCAGCTCGCGAAGTTCGTCCTCTGGTGATGTCTGTGCATGCAGGAAGCGAAGGACGGAGCACACGTGACCAATGAGCGTGCCGTCTCCAACTGCGTTCCATAGCTTTCGCCCAACATCATTGATGCACAACTCCTTGAGATCATCGATGAGATACCTGTCGGCGAGAATGTAGAGTTGCGATGGCTTCAAAAGGTGATCCAAATCGACAATGATGTCTGAATCCAGTCCTTCAGATTCCTTCTTCCGGAGCGAATGACTCATGTATGTTTTGACTCCATACTCGGAGAAGTGCTCCTGACAAAACTCCAATACTGCGAAGCGTTTGTTGTCTCGCTTTGACGACGTGCGCTTGACCCATGTCCTTAGTGAGTCTGGATATGCATCGTCTTTTCTGGCGTCTTCTTCTTCTTCTGAGTCGGATTTGTCGTTGTAAATGTATTCGGGGTAGGGAATAGGGTAGGAGCCGGTGTAAGCATAGTCCAAAAGAAGGAGGAAGGTTGTAGGTTCGACGTCGTCCCAAACGATCTTGCCCTCGAGGGATTCTTGCATACCGCCAGTAAGCAAGGCTTGAAGAGGCTCCGACAGGTGGACCAAAGCCCCCTCGTGGACACGGAACTCGCGCTTCGAATCTCCTTTGCCAATGACGAAAGTGACGACCCGGGAGTCGATGATCCTATGAAACGTTAGCAGATTTTCAACCTAGAATCTCTTTTTTCAGACGAAAGAAGACAAGAACTTACTCCTCGATTCCTCTCTTTCGCTTGAGAGACATCGTGACGTTGGCGGGCGAAGGTGTGTGTGGGTGTAGAAGTGAGAGTCAGGTTGGTCGCGAAATTGGTCCGTAGATATAGGAAAGCTTGGCGAAGGAAAGAAGGAAGCCGCGGCTCTCGTGTCGAATGGAAGGACCGAAATACAAGCTCTCCGTTCCTTCCAAAAGGAAAGAGAGAACTTGATGCAGATCCGAATTTCTCGTGTATTGCTAAGCAATATCTAGCGCCCTTTGCTTCTCGTCCACATTAATGATTCTCATGTGCAGCGTTGTTAGCCAGGCTGAGACGCTGTTTAGCGAGATGCGTTGAGGAGTATAGGACCGGGAAGTTCTCTGGCTGAGGAAAAGTAGCTCGGTCCACCAAAGAGATGTGTTCTTCGCAAAAGACATTGTTCTCGCAAGAGCAGAGACGCCGGGATGAAAGGCAACTAGCGGTTGGAGGTTCTTGTCTCTCGGGTTGTCGGCGATTAAGGATCATTGGTGCTTCCTATTTGGTGTGTTTCCGTAGGCTTCTCATAAACAGCCGCCAAGCTTGGGTAGGATGAGCTTGGATGTACGGTGTCATTGTTTCATGATCACAGCCAAGAAGTCATCACTCAAAGTTTGGAATGGACATCGCTAGACATACTCAAACGACAATCAACTCGACTTCAGGTGCGAGCAGGAAGGAGTATATTCCTTCGTGATGATATAGTAGACGCTCAAGAACTGACACATTTATTCTGATCCTTGGAATTGTGTGCTATGCTGTCTAAAGTGTTCCGGCAAGTGAAAAGCCTCGCCATGCCAGACCTCCTCTGCGTCACAGCCCCAAATCGATTTCTCTGGGATCCCTCTCCATCATCTTTCCTTGCCCTCAAGTTCACATGTCCCGAGATCACATCCCCCCTCCCCTCGGCAGTCCTTGCCTGGCTTCTCTCGATGGTCGAGCATACATAAAGTATGTGAATGAGGAGAGAGTGAGCTTGACTGTAGAGACCCCAGACCAAGGCCTGGCGAAATGGGTTGCTGCGACGTCTCTTTAGATTCTAGAGTCAAGTCTTCGCCAGTAGTTTCTGGGCGCACTGCGTAGAATAGCAACAGCGATCTCGGTAATTTCGTCCAAGACATGTCCAAATTTTGTTGTATTGCGAGTGAGCGCATTCGACAAGTTCATCAGAACGAAGTCGATGAGAAGTGATCGAAGCCCGTCTTCGGGCAAAGTTCTAGGCCAGACGAAAAGCAAGAGCTTACAGATGGACTCGTTGAAGCTTTCGGTTGTGGGATGCTCGTAGAGAATTCGCTGCAACTTCTCAACGCAAAGCCATGCCAACTGGGTAATGGCATACCGATCAGCCAAGCAATAAAGCCGCGCGTGGGCCACGAGATAATCCTCTGAGTGAAAGTGGAAGACGTGGAAGTCAACGGAATCCAGATCAGCGCGCTTTGGCATTTCCACGAAGCGATCTGGGCCGCGCCTGAGTGCTAGCGTAGATTTACCATCTTTGCACTTCATGAGATGTTCTGTGACAATACTATACTCTAGTGAAGGCCTAACCTTGTAGTAGGCGCCACCGTAGTCATAGTAGTCGTCGGCATCGTCGTCCACCGTGCCCCATAGGTCGATGTCATTGATCGTGCCATATCGTTCGTTATGGTCAGGAATAAGTAGCTCACGGCCGTATGCGTACTCAATCAGTTGAGAAAAGACCTCAGGCTCGACCTCATCCCAGACAACAATACCCTCCATAGACTCCTTCATGCCGTTGGTCACGAGTGCTCGGAGTGGGCCGGAGAGGCCGCTGATTGCTGCTTCATGGACATTGTATTCGACCTCGTCATCTCCGACGATGAACTTAATGATCCGAGATTTGAGGATTCTGTACCCGTGTTAGCGATGCTCCTTGGAAGGTGGAAAGATGTGAAAGAGAGCAGACGTACTCGGCTACGTCAATATCTCGCTTAGTTACCATCGGAGGCATTTCGTGACGATGGCAGATGGGTTTTGGTGAGGAGAAAGCCGAGGGCGCGTAAGTAATGATGAGTGAGATGAAAAAAGAGCAAAAGCAAACGCGAGTGAGAAGAGTGGAAGGAAGAGGGTGTGACATGGAAGGAAAAGTGAAGTTTAAAAGGCTTGGGATCAAATGGATGTGAGTCAATTTCTCCGCCCTTCTTCCTTCCGTGCCTAATTTTGCAGCAACGGAAGAAGCTACCTGAGGCGTATTAGACGCGTTTGGTTGTTCGTTGAAAGGGTTGCCTACTTAAGTGAGTATCCGCCCGAGACACGAAGCCTCCTACCAATCCATGATATTCAGTACCCAAGCCAAAGAAATGTGCCTACTTACCTCATCTTGTGTGGCAACTGATACATCGTATCCGATACAGTATCTGGCCTCTCACTCCCAGGCTGTATTGAGGCCAAACTGCCCTTGAAGAAGCTAAATAAAGGCAGGTTTCCACCGCACTCAGACATACTTACGTTTGAACTGGCTTGGAATGTACGAGAATGGAAGGCATCACGCTAGCTTGGGACTTCAGAATCTTGAAAAGGTATTTTATTTTAGGAGGCGAGCGTCCTGGGGGTGATCACAGTCGCGATCTGGTGCTATTAGATACAATTCTGGCGTCGTCTCGTTATCGTGGCATTACGATCAGGGCCCTTACTGAGGGATGCCCAACTCCTTGTAGAATGCTTCGGTGCTAGGCTTGCGTCCAAGGAACTGCTCCAGGGTCAACATCTCCTCCTGGCTTCCGCCCTTCTCCAAGACAGTGTGTCTGTAGCGGCGACCCTCCTTGCCGTTCATGGGATCGGCCTTGAAGACGGAGTAGAACATGTCGGTCGAGTAGACCTCGGATGAGAGATAGCCGTAGTAGCCGGCATCGTAGCCGCCAATCAAGTGACCGAAGCAGGCTTGTCCGTTGCCCCAGGTGCTGTATCTGTTAGTATTGTGTACTTTGGAATTTAATGGGGTTTCATACCTCTTCTCTCCCTGAGCTTCTGGGCCCTTGATACCAGCGATCTGGCCGCGAAGCTCGTTGTAGGTTGCTGACAAGTCCAACTTCTTGATGGCCTCGTGGCTCTCGGGGGTATGGACAGTCATGTCAAAGGTACCGAAGTGAAGCTGGCGGAGGTTGAACAGGGCAGCGTTGACGTGCTTGGTGGAGATCTGCTTCTCAATAAGGTCATCGGGAATCTTCTCGCCAGTCTCGTAGTGTTGAGACAGCGCCTTGATAACACTAGGGGTCCAGCACCAGTTCTCCAACATCTGTGATGGCGCCTCAACGAAGTCTCTGACGGTGCTGGTACCGTGGAAACGGCTGTATGTGCAGCGGCCAGCAAGGTCGTGGATACCATGTCCAAGCTCGTGGAAGAGGGTGACGACCTCGTCGTGTTTGAGAAGTGAGGGCTTCTT